TGTGTCATGTTATGTGTCATGTTATGTGTCATGTTATGTGTCATGGTATGTGTTATGTCATGTGTCATGTTATGTGTCATGTGTCATGTCATGCCGTGTCATGTCCGTGGAGCACCAGCTGCAGGGCCAGCCCCCTAACTGGAATGTATTGCGTATTTACCACGTAGGGTCTCAAATGTCCAACTGACGCCCAGACACACACGGATTGTGTGGCCCAGATTCCCCGGCTATGCAAAGTAACTGGTACCCTTGCAGCATAGTCGACGTCATGTAACTTGTGTTTTTACTTTCACCCCAGGCTGGGACATCTCCTCTGTCAACCTGGCCGCAGCAATGGAGCGAGCCGGCGTCCTAGACTGGAACCTGCAGCAACAGCTGCGTCCGCACATGGAGAATCTGAAACCGCGGGCGTCCATCTACATCCCGGATTTCATCGCAGCCAATCAGGCGGAGCGGGCAGACAATGTGCTGACCGGAACCAAACAGGAAGTGATGGAGCAGGCACGTGACATCACGTGACACCTAGTTAACCCCCAACTCCCGACGTTATCAGGAGGTGGTGGTAACATGGCCCACCGTGAAAATCCTTGCATTTTGAACCAGTAGATGTCACTAAGAACAATGTAAATTTTTTATGCTGGGTAGAGGCATGCGCATCTTTTCATGTGCATCTGTTCGTGGTCGCCATGGCAACCAACAGACTTTTTTGCAACTCAACAATTGAATTTCATCGGCCCTTTTAATCCAATCGTCGTCGTCATCGTCGTCGTCGCGTGCGCAGGTGAGGGCGGACATCCGGGACTTCAAGCAGCAGCAGCGGCTGGACAAGGTCATCGTGCTGTGGACGGCCAACACGGAGCGCTTCTGTGACGTCACGCCGGGTCTCAACGACACGGCCGACGAGCTGCTGCGGTCGATAGCAGCCGACGCGGCGGAGGTATCACCGTCAACGCTGTTCGCAGTCGCCAGTATCTTGGAAGACGTGAGTTCATTCCCCAATCGCGTGTGTGTGCGGAGGGTGGGGCGGTGTTGGCTGGTGGGGCGTTTGTCGGAGGGCGTGGATGGCGGTGTGTGACCGTCACCATGTGATGTGATACTGTGTGTGCATTGAACTGTGTGTGTGTGTGTGTGTAACATGTGTGTGTCTGCTGTTGGTGATGTTGTGCTTGGCGGGTGGCGGCGTCGTGCGCGGGGGGTGGATTGGTGCTGTGTGTGGGTGTGGGTTGTGTGTGAATGGTGTGTGTGAGGTGTGTGTGCGTGTGTGCGGTGTGTTATGCGTGTATGTGTGTGTGTGTGTGTGTGTGTGTCTGCTCGTGGTGTGTGTGTGCGGTAATGTGTGTGTGTGTGTGTGTGTGTGTGTGTGTGTGTATGGTCGTGAGCGCGTGTGTGTTGTGTGTGCGATGGCTGGTGTTGTGTGTGTGTGTGTGCGTATCGTGTGCTAGTGTTGTGTGTGTGCCCCTGTGTGTATTGCTTGTTGTGTTGTACGTTCTGTATGGATACCCGCCGCTGCGTTTGTTGATTGTTCTTACTGACTGTCACTGCTGTTGCTTATTGCTCGTTTATGTTGTGCTGTACATTTTTAGATGCTGCTATTGCGTTGTTGTTGTGTCCGGCTGTCTGTTGTTTGCTGCTGTACTGCTGCTACTGCTGCTTGGTTGTCTGCTGTTAGTTGTTGCTGCTGCTACTGCTCATGCTCGCTTTAGTGTTGTTGTTGCTGCCGCTACATGCTGGTATTGCTGTTTGGTTGTTCGCTGCTGCTACTGCCTACTGGTGCTATATGCTGTTGTTGTTGTCTGTGTTTGTGTCTCTTGCGGTCTTCGCTGTGCCTACTGCCTGACCTATTGTTGTGCTGTTACTGTGCTATTGGCATGTTGTTGCTGTTGTTCGTTGCTTTACTGTTGCTTAACTGGCCGCCAGCTGCTATTGATGTCTCGTTGTTGTTAGTTGTTGGTTGTTGTTGTTGCTGCTGCTGTTATCTCATATACCTGCCCTGCCTACTGCTGCTATTGCTGTTGTTGTTGTTGTTGGTGCTGCGACGCGACCCTTAAGGCAACCCTAATCGTTCTCTGACATCTACATTCTCTTTTCCTCGCTCCTGCTCTCTCTCTCTCATCTCTGCATCGAGCTTTCTCATCGCCTGCTCTCCTCTCTCCCTCTCTCTCTCTCTCTCTGCTCTCTCTCTCCCTCTCTCATCTCTCTCTAACTCTCTCTCTCTCTCTCTCTCTCTCTCCTCTCCTCTCTCTCTCTCTTCTCTCTAATCTCTCTCTCTCTCTCCTCTCTATCTTTTCTCTCTCTCTCTTCTCTACTCTCCTCTCTCTCCGTCAGTTGCTGCCCCTACATTATCTGTTCTCCCCTCCTCCCTCTACATTCTAAACATAATCTCTCTCCTCTCTCTGTTTGTCTCCCGGTCAGTGCTGCTACATTAACGGCGCGCCGCAGAACACCTTCGTACCAGGAGTCATCGAGCTGGCATCGCCGCCCGCCCAGTCGCACCATCTGCGGCGACGACTTCAAGTCGGCGTCAGACCCGCGTCAAGTCCGTGCTCGCAGACTTCCTCGTGTCCCGCCGGCATCAAGCCGTCTCGATCGTCAGCCTACCCACCCCTTCACCGGAACAACGACGGCCTCAACCTGTCCGAGCCGCGACAGTTGTCGCTCGAGGAGGTGACGAAGAGCCGGCGTCATCGATGACGTCGTCGCGTCAAACCGGATCCTGTACGCGACGCCAGCGGCACCGAGCGCACGGCATCACTGCATCGTCATCCGCTACGCCTAAGACGAGCGTCGCGACAGCAAGCGCTGCGCCCTCCCACTGGCATGAGTAACACGATCTGGAGATCGCGATGGGCGGCCGCACACGCCTTCGTTTCCTGCACAACACGTGCGAGGGACTCGCTGCTTGCCCGCTCCTCACGTAGTCGACCTCTCATCATCCCTCGCCAGAGCTGTGCGCGCGCCGGTTTGCGCTGTTAGCGTCGACGCGGCGCCACCTACCGCACGGCATCCCACCCTCCAGTGCCTGTCCAGCGTGCTGGCCTACCTCTGTACAGGCGCCGCTCGTGCCACCGCCGAGCAAGCGCCGTAGTTAACGCTCTGTTCGCACAGCGAGCGTGCCACTCGAGAAAACGCTATGCTGCGCGCTGCGCCGGCCTGCCTCCCGTTAACACATGAGGTCTCCGCAGCACAAGTTTCGGCGCCCGCGTCACGGGAGAAGAGCGGACAAAGGAGAGAAGACGAGGAGGAGGAAGACGCAGGGGAAGGAGGAGGAGGGGTAGTAGGCGGAGGAGTAGGGGGAGCCGAGGAGAGAGGAAGGAGGAGGAGGGAGGAGGAGGGAGGAGCGGTGCCGAGACGGCTGCAGAAGAAAGGAGGAGGAGGCAGAGGGGGAGGAGCGAGTGAGGAGGACGCGAGGAGGAGGAGCGGTGAAAGCTGTTGTTGCAAGAAAGGCATAGGCACAGGAGGAAGTAGGGAAGGAGGAGAAGGAGACAGGATGGAGGACTACGGCAGGGCCGCGAGCGAGGGGGGAATGCAGGCTGCAAAACACTGCAAGACCAGGAAGGCAAGAGGGGAGCGAGGAGCGAGGAGGAGGAAGGACGGAGCAAGGAGGAGGGGAGGAGGGAGCGCGGTGCCACAAAAACCTGAGACGAAGGCAGAAGCGGAGCGGCAGGGGGAGGAGGAGCGTGTGAAGCTGCAGGAAGAGGATAGGAGGAGGACGCAGAAGGAGGAGGGAGGAGGAGACAGCAGGAGGGGAGGAGGAGGCGGGAGGAGGAGCTGCGGTGTCTGAAGCTGAAGGAGAAGGCGAGGTGCAAGGTCTGAGGCTGGACACGGCCGTCGCGACCCACACGGCGGGCTGCTGTAGAACGAGGATGGAGGATCCTGCGGAGAGCGACTGCGAGGCCTTGACTGATGGAAGAGGATAGGAGCGATGCTGAGGAAGAGGATGGAGGATGCTGGCGCGGAGACGAGCTACCTGGAGAACGGCTTCACCGATCAATGGTTTGGCAACTAGTGGATGACGGCGGAGAGTGGGGACCAGTAACTGACAACTATCTAATGTAGACACCGAGAAGAGGGCAATCAATGAGCAATTGTCGGATGTGGCACACCATTACCTTTGGGGCACAGTGTTGCCCACACTGTCTCAACTCGCCCGCACCGAGAGACGCCGCCCGGAATCAACTCGGCCACCTCTCGCTCTCGCATGTCGGCACAACATTAAGAGTAACCAGTAACTTGCAACTGCTCTAAATGTAGACACGAGTAAAGAGGCAACTAACTGGCAAACTTTGTCCAATTGTCTGATGTAGGCACACATTAGGGACCAGTAACTGCCAACTGTCTAATGTAGACACCGAGAAGAGGGCAATAACTGGCAATTGTCTGATGTAGGCACACATTAGGGACCAGTAACTGGCAACTGCCTAATGCAGGCACAGAGTAGAGGGCAATAACTGGCAATTGTCTAATGTAGGCACACATTAAGGACCAGTAACTGGCAACTGTTTTATGCAGGCACAGAGCAGAGGGCAGTTATTGGCAACTGTTTGATGTAGACACACAGTAGGTGGCAGTTATTGGCAACTGTTTGATGTAGACACACAGTAGGTGGCAGTTATTGGCAACTGTTTGATGTAGACACACAGTAGAAGGCAGTAACTGGCAACTGTTTGATGTAGACACAGATTAGTGAATAGTGCCTGGCAACTAATATCGACGTCACAAGAAAATAGCAGTGACTGAACACACTGGAGAGATAATTGAAGAGCTGATTTCCAAAAGTCCACTTTTGTAATTTAGAAGATATCGTCACATTTTCATTTTAGTAATGATCTCATGATATGCATGGAACACAGTTTTTTCACTCTAATTTTTGAAGTGAATGGTACTTCAAATGAAAACACACCTCAATGAAATCTAGTGATCTAAAATTAAAAATCAATCATGTACATTATATTTCATTCAGGTGTGTTTTCATGCTAAGTATCATTCATTGAAATATTAGAGTGGAAAAACTGTGTTTCAGGCAAAGAAAACATTACCAAAATAAAAATGTGATGATATCTTCTAATTAATGGATTTAACAGCTTTTGGGACCCAAACTCAATGTTTGGAGGCTGTTCGTGAAGGAATATACCATCTTTTGATGCAAATGAATATCACACACGATGTAGATAGACGTGTATAGTGTACTAGATGGTACTAACTCATTTTTGACCAAAAGTGAGTTAACACCTTTTGGAAATTAGCTCTTCAAATACTGGCAACTAGTAAGTGAAGGCATAGAGTAATCGGCAGTAATGGCAACAGATTTTGTGGCAAGATTGTTGTGTCACTGCACCAGCACTATAGGTGTCATTTCGTGTCTTTATCTCAAACATATATTACACTATGTGTACACTATATACATG